AACGCACGCGATATACTCATGAATCACTGGATTTGGGGACATGGCCTTAAGCCATAATAGATCTTGGTCATTCTAAGTGATATTAGTTGGGAATTTAGATTAATTGTTAAATAATTTTAATTAAATAATTTTATTTTCAGATATTCACATTTATATTAAGTTATACGATAATATTAATGCAAACTCGGAAGCAATAAATAATTAATTTTAAATAATGGTTTAATAAAAAGTAACAATAAATAGTTGCTATTGGTTACTATTGTAATGTGTGTTATAATTATTATAAAGATTAAATTGTTAAAGTATATTTATGATTTAATTATTATTAAAACATAAATGCCCAAATTTTTGGAACTTTATTTAATTTTATTTTTAATATATTTATAATTAAAAATCAAATTTATTTAATAGGCACATTAATATCATACATATTTATTAAAATCTAAATTAAACAAGATATCATTAATTAATCTAAATTCCCAACTAATATCACTTAGAATGACCAAGATCTATTATGGCTTAAGGCCATGTCCCCAAATCCAGTGATTCATGAGTATATCGCGTGCGTTGTCACGAAACACGTGGTTAATAGTGAGGTCCCGGAAACCGCACCTTTCGATGTCATCACATGATTTGCGATTCAGTCGACAGGCGCCGCCTATTGCTCGATGCATACCATTTATAGCGTTTTGGGAATATTGCAAAAGTAAATGCTGAACATTATCACCAGGGTACAAACAGTGCTCGCTAAAGTATACGTGTCCACCCTAGAATAATAATTTTAAAATTTTGTTTAAAAATATATTTATTAACTGAGAAACCCATTAGAGTTAACAAGATGATAATTGACTCTCTCTCTCTCTCTCTCCCTCCTTCGAAATGTTCTCATTAGTTCATAGAAGTGCTATAATTTATTAGAGAGAGAGAGAGAGAGAGAGAGAGATTGTATACCGGTTTCAAGACTCTTATGACTTCCTTCAGTGCTTTCGTCGGACTATTGACCGAACATAAGACCGAACACCAGATGACGGCATCCATAGAGTTGTCGCCGATTTGGTGCATATCCTCCATATCCCCGACGATGTAGTCCATGAACTCAAGGGTCGGGTATTTGGAAATATTTTGTCGGTAATACGGTTCGAAATGTGGATTTAAATCCAATGCATAACATTGACAATTATCCGGGTACTTTGCAAATAATCTCCCAGCACCACCTCCGATTTCTAGCAATTTCTACGCAAAAATAATTTAACTTGGTATTAATTACAAATAGCATATTTATCAAAATTTTGTAACAAGTTAAAAACACTGCCCTTTTCATAATTACCTATTACAATTCATATAATATAGTTATTATATTGTTATTAAAATCTGCAATAATATATGAAACTTACAAGTTTTGATAAATTGCTAACTGGTCTCATAGTTTTTAATCCATCGTAATAGTCCATGGTGAATTTGAGTAAGTCAGTAAATGATAAAGCAACTTTCTTAGTGAAACGTTGCTGCATTTGTTCCGGGGTTACCAATCTTGTCCGGATCCAAGTTGTAATATATCGCACGGTGACCACAATGATTTTTAAAATTAAAACACAAATTTCCATTACCATGTTTAAATAAGTCAACTGGTATGTTTATGGATTATTTGATTACAAATTTAATTAAAACTTAGTTGCTTATAATAAATAATAATTTTATTTGTAAATTTTATATTTAAAATACAAATTTTACATGATACAAATAATGTGCAACTACTGTTACTTGCATTATAAATTATAAGCTGTACCAATTTCAATTGTCATTATTTATTTTTAAGGGACTTATTGTATTTATTTTTAAAATTCCAATCACGGCCATAATATTAGTTAGCTATAACTTAAATAATAATTACTAAGCAAATTTTAAAATAATATTTATACTTTCTATACATATACTGTATTTGTTTTGAAATTACAATATTTTCGTTAAGTGGACTAATTTATAAAATTGTCTCAATAAATGAAATACAGTAATTATTTAATTATATTTCATTTATATATATACTGTACAGATTAAATTAAAATCCACGTATTTACAAAACCATTTAAAACATAAATGCATCTTTCTCAATATTCCTATAAATTCAGTGTATTAAACGACATGTGGTTTTGTAATTACCTGGGATATTGAACAATCGCAAACTGTAAATAATTATTTTAGCATAATTATTCACACTAAACTTTAATTGAATTATTGGAACTTGGAAACTTTTGCGACAAACTTTTATATTTGTTCATAATTTTTAAATTAGTATGAACTTTATTAATATTTAAAATTTATCATAATAATAATAAATATTTATATAATTTAAACAATTTAAATACATAATCATGTGATTAAGAGTAATACTCAAAAAATAATTATATAGATGCAATAATTATGAATCTATAAAATAAAAAATTATTTAAAAAACAATTTAAGCAAGATTAATTTTAAAAATTCTGAGCGCATTTCATTTAAAAATTAACATTTAGACTACGATAATAAAAATTTAAAATTTATTTAATTTGTACATTAATTATTTACAACAAAAATAATTTTAAAAGGTGTTTTTGCTGATTAGTATTGTATGTGATTTTTAGCAATTAGTAAATAACTAATAATAATTTTTTTAATCATATGATAATATAATATTATTTTGTTATAAATAAATTCATATATTTTTCCAATCAATATAAATGTTTGAATATATAATAATATAGTAATTTTATTACAAAATAATTTTTGTTTACATTATTTACTTATATATTATTACACGTATCTATTGTAAATATAAATTATATTGATACGGAGATTTTTAAAGAAAATATAATGTTTATATTAATTTACTAATTGATATAATAATAAATGTCCTAAAAGTACTAAATATTATATTTAGTTTGTATTGAATATAAATACATGTAGATTTATACGTATTTTATAATATGTTATATTACAAACATTTTAGACACGTATAACTTAGTTGTAAGTTAAGCATATGAGTACTTTTATATAAAAATATTATTCTCATGTTTAAATTATCTCATATTATAAAAGTTAAATATTAAAATATTAAACATGGACTTTGTA